GATAGATAGATAGATAGATAGATAGATAGATAGATAGATAGATAGATAGATAGATGATAGATAGATACACACACATACACACACATATATATCTCCATTCCTACCTCACTCCAGGGGAAGGATACTACAAAATCTCCAGTCCCATCCCTCTCCAGGGGAAGGATACTACCAGATCTCTATTCCCACCCCACTCTGGGGCCAGCCAAAGGTGGTATTTGCCGGTTCTCCAAACTACTCAAAATTTCCACTACTGGTTCTCCAGAACCTGCTGAATTTCACCCCCCATCATAGGGCAACAAACTTTGAACCAAGGTATCTCAAATGGACTAACTTAAAGAATGCATTCAAAATATATGGGACTCATGATTCCCAAATGTATGAAATTTGGGGAAGTTATGGCTGTTTTAGGCTACTGCTGTAGCAAAGTGATTTTCATTTATAACATTCCATGACAATTTCCTACCCAGTCATGCAATCCCTTGCTCCCTCCTTCACTGAGCTACTTACTTGGCTGCTGGGAAGGGAAGGGAGATTTCCAGTCTTCCCTGCCAGATTGCCGTAAGGAAACTCAGTGGAGAAGCCGGCAGGAAGTCAGAACTCACTTCTGCTTTCACCGCTTTTTTGCCTACTGTGTGGCCATTCTGTACATCTGTTTAGATAAAGAAATATCTCTAAAACGATGACCCAACAGCATGGATTGCCTAGTCCTTACTATTATTCAATTTTGTTTCTTTCCCTTTTGCCTTTGAGTCAGTCTTGACTCCTGGTGGATAAGTCCCTGGAGTTTTCTTGACAAGGTTTTTCAGAAATGATTTTCCATAGCCTGGTTCCTAGGGCTGAAAGAGAGTTATTGGACCAAGGTCTCCCAGCTGGATTTGTGCCTCAGGCAAGACAAGAACTCACAGTCTCCTGGTTTTTAGCTTGATGCCTCAACCACTCCATTTAACTGGGTTTCTATTCAGCTAAGAGCCAAGGTGGCGCAGTGGTTAAATGCAGCACTGCAGGCTACTGCTAGATCAGCAGTTCAGCGGTTCAAATCTCACCGGCTCAGGGNTGGTGGAACCTCTTCTAACCGGTTCGGTAGATTTGACGAACCGGTTCTACCGAATAGATGCGAACTGGTAGGAACCCACCTCTGTCTCATTGGTTGCCCCTTAATTCCTTGAGGCAATTCTGATTTCCACAGTGGACAAAAGGGAGAGAAAAATAAATAACTTAAGCTTATTCTTTCAGTTTTGTGGTGATTTCATGCATGGTTTACTACAGTGCAGTGTTTTAATCAATAGTGTCGCCACACATAAACTGAAACTAAATCAAAATACACATGGACAAAAGTCAAAACAAAGTCCAGAAATAAACAGAATAATGAGATCATTGGCACTTTGGGGCTGCTCCAATCTGCTCGGTAATTCAGAATCCCTATAGAAAGCAGAAGTTCGTAAAGAAAAAGAAATTGCAATATTCAGTTGAGGAAAATGATACAATAATTACATTGACCCTGATTAAACTTTAAAATGTATGCCTTATTTTTGATGATGATAGCAACTGTGAACTCTCTTTATTACTGTTTACATCCAATGGTTATGTCAGGAAAAAAAATATGCAGACGGGCTTGGAACTCTATATATTATCAAGATAATTCTTATAAAAACTGAACAGATTGGGATCTGTTACGGCGGGAAAGCTGGCAAAAGAAAGATTGGATTTCTGAGCCAGATTGATTTGAGGGCTACAGAGAAACACATTGCAGGGGAAAAATATCCCAAATCCTTTCTATGGGCAGCACTCAGAATGGGGATTACTCTTCCATTTTAAACCCCTCCCCTCTCTTGCTCACATGGTTCAGAATGAAGCTCTTAATAAGACTTCAAAAGAATTTCTCCCAAAATTGTTTGACAATGTCTATATTGATTTAGCTTACTTGTATGAGTCATCTACTGCACTGTTCCCCAACCTTTCCAGCTTTATGCATTGGCAGGGGGGGAGAGGAGAGGGAATGGTTGTGCATGAGTGGTGCACAACTCCATTTGCGTGAGCTGTGGGCACATGCACCTGCCCCTCACACAAATGGAGCCATGTGCGCTTGCCTGCTGCTCAAGCAAATGGAGCTGCACACATTGACGCATTCATCCACCACTTCCACAGCCCAATTGTGGGGTTGGGGCCGCCTAACCTAATATATATATATATATATGTTTTTTTATTTGNGCTTTGCGGAAGGCCGGGAGGGTAGTAAGGGTCCGGATCTCCACGGGGAGATCGTTCCAGAGGGCTGGGGCTGCAACATAGAAGGCTCTCCCCCGGGGAGTTGCCAGCCAACATTGGCTGGCAGATGGGATCCGGAGGAGACCTAACCTGTGTGATCGAATCGGTCTATGGGAGGTGATCGGCAGGAGGCGTTAAAGCTTGTGTGGTATGTGTGTTTTGAGGCAGGAGAAAAAAACCTACAGCAGAGAAAGAGAGGCAAGAGGCAACACCCATTTCATTTTATTTCTAGATATGGTAGCCATTCTTTTTTTGAGCTGACGGGGCTTGTGCTAAAATAGTTGCAAAACCAAGTTTTCCGAAATACCATCGGAAAGGTTTGTCAAAGAAATAAATAATGATTTATTCACACAGCTTTTTTAATATTAAAAATGTGACAGTTTTAACAAAGAAAATTGCCACTTATTGTTAGAAGAAACAGCCATCTGTCTTTCTTCCAGAAAACATTTGCATCCAACAAAGTTGTACTTGATGAGTCTTCTGTATAAACTTATTAAAGTTAGCAGCTTCCTTTCAATATCTTTGTATGTACAGTATATGGCTGCTTCCCAAAACTGGTCATAATATGGTACAGAATCAGTACACCCCAGTCATATTTGCTTGTCCAAGTGCTGTTTCTGTTTTCCTATAACAAAAGTTGCAACTCCAACAGATTTCTTTAAAAGATTTCAAAACTTCATCAAAGTTTGCAGCAGTCTTTATAAAAGTAAGATAAAATACCAAGAGGGTATCTCAATACCCTCATATGTTAAAATACATTTTAAAGACAAAAAAATGCAAATAAATAATGTAGAAAACATCTTTACCTGAAATTTAGGCTAACAGTCGTGAATGATTGATTGATTGATTGATTGATTGATTGATTATGTGCCATCAAGTTGATATTGATCCCTTAGTTATCATGTAGATTTTTTTTATCCATGACAATTGTACCTAATCTATTTCAAATCTTCCAAAAGTACTATTTCCACTATAACTGATTGTAACTGAATCCATTCATCTTGCTGCTGACCATCCTCTTTATCTTCCTAACATTAGAGCCTTTTCCAGACAGCTGTGTCTTCACACAATTTAGAAATTGCAGAACGGCAATTATTTTTTTATTTATATCATGTTACTTATACAATCAAATATATGGTATTTCACTTGTTTCAAAGGTCTTAGGATGTTTTAAAATATCAGTGAAGGTGAAAATAGAGGTAGTAAACAAAAAAATAGACCCGTGATCCACAAAAATGATCAGATTACAAAAGCAGTCTAGATCCACCATCCATTCCAAAACAAATATGTTTTTGCAATTTTATGGGGCCACTACCAAGAAGGCATATCACTGGGCCCTGCTCCTTGCATCTTATGTGGGATGGGTACCAAAGCCCCTCTTAGGATGGCTATATAAGACAGCCAGCTCTACGCAAATAGGCTTTAGCAGTGGTGGGTTCTGGCAGCCGCTACTGCCAGTTCGCTCAGGGATGCACCCCATGCGCATGCATGTGCAGTACAACAAAAAATGCTCTGCGCATGTGCAGAAGCAAAAAACAATATGGCGGTACCTATGGCGCCACTGGGAAAAACTGTTCGGGGGTGTGACAGGCCTGGGTCACTGACGGTTCCAGCGATCCAGGCTGCCAAACTACTATCAGTTTCGCCGAACCGGTCCAAACCAGTAGGAACCCACCACTGGGCTACATAGACTAAACCAGCATCTTCTCTACTTTTTGTATATCAATTTGAAAAGTCTGTATATGCATTTGTCCTTGACAGGTGGTTTCTCAGAGCGATAAGCACTTTATGTAAGGAGATTGGAACTGAATAAGCCTCAAAAGAATTTCTTTATTTTGTTTTCTGAAAAGGAGAACTTACGTTGGTTTGTAAATGTTCAGTAAAGCTGAAAAACATCACAAAACATTTCTAGTAATTTAAATTTATGTTCCTAGTATTAGGATCAGATTTGTTTGTATCCTTGACAAATCCAATGGATTTTAGTGGATTTACTCAATAAATTATTAGGACTGGATTATGCGATTATTATTTTTTTCTTCCAGGGTACTAAATATTCTTTTCTTGGCTACTTACCATTTTACTATTGTGTTGTCATATTATAGCAAACTGGCACCAGTCTGTTAAATTGTTTGCTTCCTGGTTATATGCTATCCTACCTACCATTACTATCCAAGATTATTACTTTTTGGTCAACCTGTAATTTGTGCTGCCCTTTGCTTACTCTAAAAAGAAACATGTGCCATTAAATCCCTTATTAAATCTGAATTTAATTTATATTAAGAGATGTGGTAGCTCAGTGGCTAAGATGCTGAGCTTGTCGATCAGAAAGGTCGACATTTCGGCGGTTCGAATCCCTAGTGCTGCGTAATGGAGTGAGCTCCCATTACTTGTCTCAGCTTCTGCTAACCTAGCAGTTCGAAAGATGTAAAAATGCAAGTAGAAAAATAGGGACCACCTTTGGGGAGAAGGTAACAGCATTCTGTGCGCCTTTGGCATTTAGTCATGCCGGCCACATGACCACAGAGACGTCTTCGGATAGCGTTGGCTCTTTAGCTTTGAAACGGCGATGAGCACCGCCCCCTAGAGTCNCTACCTATCTACCTATCTACCTATCTACCTAACTACTCTCTTTCCCTACCTACTGTATTTCTCTCTCCTTCTATCTCTCTAGCTACCTACCTACTTTTTTTTTTAATTTGCCTCTTCAAAATCTTGGTGCGTCTTATATTCCGAAAAATATAGTATATGTGACTCCTGTGAAAATCATTATGCATACAAGGTAGTGGTTACAATTGGTTGCTTAACAACTACCCAAAGTTAAATGGACTTTTAAAAAGCTATTCTTTGAAATTATGACACATTATTGCATTTTGGGCATTTGGAAACTAGCTCACATTTATGACTAGGTTACAGCCTCCCACAATGACATGACTACAATTTGCGAACCTTTTTGCTGGTTTCTGGTGATTTCTGCCAGTTTCCAGCATTGGATCTGCTGGATCTGCTTAATGACCACACGGTTTGCTTAATGGCAATGGTAACTCACTTATGACTTGTAAAATCTGTGGTAAAATCAAATCCAGTCATATAATGCCTCGACTTAAAACTGCAAGATTTATGACCGAAATTCCAGACTCCATTGTGGCCCTAATTTAGGACTATTTATATACACACACATGCAATGGCTTTTGTATTGAAGGAATTTAGTTGCACTATTGATATTGAACATTCCAGTTATAATTGAATTGAAAAATCAAAGTTTCATGTGGTACCACTAAGACCTTTGAAGGATCTTTCCAGAAGTACATAAGGAGAGTTTACCGTTTTAAATTCTCCTGCCAAGGCTGTGAAAAATCTTGGAGTGTTAACATTTTCTTAATCTGAATGTTATACATTTGTTTTCTCTGAATGAGATCACATTCTTTTGGAAATACATTCCTCCATCTTCGAAAATGTACATCTGAAGAACAAGCAAATGAACATATATTAAAATTCATATCTGTGTTTTCTGTTTTCCATTTACAGGTCAGTGTTGAAGTTTTGGTAGAATATCCCTTTTTTGTATTTGGACAAGGCTGGTCATCTTGCTGCCCTGAGAGAACAAGCCAGCTCTTTGATTTGCCGTGTTCCAAACTCTCTGTTGGTGATGTCTGCATATCACTTACACTCAAGAATCTGAAGAACGGCTCCGTTAAAAAGGGCCAGTCCATGGACTCAGCTAGCATCTTGTTGAAGCACTCTAAAAATGACAGTCTAGTTGGCAGTAGACATAGGTATGTGGAGCAGGAAAATGGGATTGATCAAGGAGGGGTCAAGATGACGTCTGAAAATGGTGAACTGAAGTTTCCAAACAAAATAGGATTACCTGCAGCATCTCTACTCACCAAATCAGAATCCAGCAAGCCCACAGCAACTCGGAAGCGGAGGTGGTCAGCCCCTGAAACACGGAAACTGGAGAAGTCTGAAGAGGAGCCACCGTTGACTCTTCCCAAGCCTTCTTTTATTCCTCAGGAGGTTAAGATTTGCATTGAAGGGCGATCCAATGTAGGCAAGTGAAGTCTATTAGGGAAAGGAAATTAGAATATCCCTTGTCATTTTTATCCAGATTACTGTACTGTAGGCTAAATAACCGAGTATTTACATGTTATCATCTTATTTTAGGTTATGTTTATAACGTTATAGTTGCAGTTGGTATTATGCAGGAGACAGGTGCATACTTCCCCCACCTAGGTGTTCATTGGTGATTATTTTTTTTCTCAAGAGCTACAAAAAAAGGGCAGTATCTGCTTGACACATGAACACACACCCTTTGTGGAAGCAAATGTTGACATGGCACCTGTTTTCCAACACTTCAAACAGAATATTAGCCTGGCAAGAGAACTCTAGGAAAGACAAACACTATTGCCTGATTCAAGAGTAGAATTGAGAGTTCCACAACAATGTGATTCGGTGGTTCTCTCAAGAAATTTCTGATGAAGTGTAGACCAGGGGCAATAATGGAGAACCGAGCACTCTTTGAGACTTTGCACAATAAAGTGATTTTTCCTTTTAATTTTCTGATTTTTTTTTTGTTTTGTATTTTCCATTCCCACGATCCAAACCCATACTGTGTCCCAGAATGGGTGGGGGGGGGGGGGGTCTAACTGCACTATTTTTATTAATATTATTATTGTTGTTGTTATTATTGTTCTTCTCAGAGACTGCCACATAGAGATTTCATCTCCACTTGCTAGCACAATGGCATAGCAAGAGCGTAGCAGCTGATTCTTGCTTTGCTAAAAATGGTAATTTGCTTAAAGTGTGACATTGTTGGTGTCAATATAGCACGTTACAAATTGTGGATATCGTAACTTGTATACAGCATGTTGCCGCTAACATTTGCTTCCACAAAGTAACTATATACTTTCCTTTGGGAAAGTAAACATAAAATTGTTTGCAGTTACGTTGCATTTTTTTAAAAACTCTAGTACTATTTTGTACTAGGACTAGTGCCACTGTTTTTCAAATTTCAGTGTGATACGAGGAAATGGGTGAACGTAGAATGTCTTTGAGCACTTAAAATGTTAATCGGAGTTTCCACGCTGAGAATCCTGGCTTAATACTCAGCAAATCCTGTATTTTGCTTTTATTTTCTTTTGGGTTGGGGGAAGAAAGGGAATATTGACATTTTCAACACTGTTAACTACGTAGGTTTTTTTTTTCACAAGCAAGATGCTGAAAGTTTCATGTGGTATCAAAGGGATGAATGTGAACTATAAACTCGTATGCGACAGTCGTTGTCCACAAGGACTACTTAACAGGAGGCACTTTTAAAACTTTTATGCTTGTGAAAAAGTTAAAGGTATATGCAAGCTGACAATAATAAAAGAAAAAGAAAGAGTATAAGGGAATAAGAAGAAGAAGAAAAACATTGTCCAGTGTTTTTGAAAAAGATGGACTTTAAAGAATCTTGCAATTTGCACATCTTGAGTTTATCATTTGTATGGTATTCCTGCAATTTTTAATTTTTTAGGAAGGGAGAGGGGCTGAAAAAGCTTAAACAAATGTAGCAGTTATTTACTAACCTGCCTAATTTCTAGATCATTTTAATAGGATTAGATTTTCTTTAAATTTCTTTTACTTCCTTTGTATCATATCTGTCACCCTGAACCAGAAAAGCTGAGAATTTCTCTTCAGATTTTCTGAGTTTTCCATGAGTCATTTTGACACAGATGCAACTTTTGTGTGTGTTTTTTTTAATTCTGTGTTTTATTGTAAAATCATTATTTCTTAACTTTCAGTTACTTTTCTTCTGATTAGTAGTATAATGTTAATGTCAAAATTTGGTACAACAGGATGATGGGTAAAAGTTTGTCCAATTAAACTCTTTCAGTAGTTATATGACTGATCACAGAAATCTGAAATAAAATAAATAAATAAATAAAATCAAGGGTAGATCCAAAGGATCTAAACTCCCGCTGATTTAGTGGCTTCCATCTTAAAACCAGATTCAGATTAATAGTCACATTAAAACCTATTTAATTATTCACAGATAAATAATTGTCTGTATAACAACCTGTGAAAAGAATCACTTAAACTAATATCCTATTTTAAAGCTTAGATAATAAATACTGCATTAATTTCTGAAGTTGTAAAATCAGGATTTCCTGAAAGATGCTGTGGGCATTTTCACACATGAGACTAAATCTTAAGTATCCATTGAATTTGTAATGTAACTATATGGACATGTTCTATCGGTGTTATTTAAATATGTTTACATGTGATACAAATATGTGAGAACCTCAAAAGAAGTCTAGTGTCTTGTGTGAAAATGGTACAAGAATTTATTTTGGCATCAGTGCTGTATTCCAGCTTACCAAGGTTAGGTGGGTGATCATCAATTATCTTCTTTCCCTACTTGTAATTTGACTTGGATGAAATTCAAAGAAAGAGCAAGTAAGATAGAAGGCCTGTATAAACAGGCAGCTTATCCTGATCTCTTTTCTGTGATGATTTCATTTGCCCTAAGCTGGTCATTGTCTGCAAAATGAAATAGATTAAGCCAAAATAGCCAACTGGCGACTCCTCTGCTACAGAAGAAGAAATTGGGACCTTAGCTGAATTTTAACAAATTTGTAGTTCAATTTAGTTGCCCTACAGGAGATTGTTTTTTTTAAATCTTTGACCCTGATGTCCTGCTGGTTGACATAACTCCATTGATATCAGGTTCTTATTTAGCAAGAAACTAAATTTTAGAAATCAAAACAGAACTTTAAATGAACAGCTTCTCCAAATGTTCATTTCCCTGCCCACTTGCCTAAATTACCTTTTAAAATTCCAATATAACCCTCTCTCTAATTGTGTTTCTTTGTTACTTGAACCTTAACTCTCACCAGAACGAATCATTTTTGTACCAGTTTTGGGGATGCACCAAAAATGTGCTTAAATTTTAAAGTAGCTTGAAAATCTATCTTGAATTGTTATTATGACCTCCCAGTAATTCATTAGATCACTGGGTGGGTTCCTTCTCACAATCATGTTGCTTTTTTTTTGTGCTGTAATTTTCTTTTTCAGCATTTCTGCTCAGAGAATTTGCTTAATCTTCCATAAACTCTGCTCAGGGCACTTTCAATTTATTGTTTATTGAAGTTTTATTTTGGCTTGTTTTTTGTTTTGTTTTTGTTCTCACTTCAACCTCTGATAGCAAGAAGAACAGTAAGATACGAGGCAAAATTTCTATTTCATTCCTATCAGTACCACTATTTTCACGTGTGCTCAGAACATTGCCTATATAACAAAAGCAGGGATTACAAAACTGACCACATCTATAAAAACTAACACTAACAAGTAAAAGAAATAAACCAATACTAATACGTGATTCAAGCAATAGGAATGTATTTGTTCTCTACTTGCATTAGAGACTTAGAACTTGCAATTATTACTTCCGTCCAAACACGGCTGTGTTTGCTGTGCTTTTGCTTCTTCTTAGTACGTGCAATATTTTATGTGCCAATTTAGATTCACCAACGGTGACAACAGACTCTTCTCATGCCATCTTTTTTTGGAGTGTTAAATGTGGGCTCTTATATGCCTTCTTTCGAAAATAGTAGGGATAAAATTTGTCTGGATGTCAACACGTTGCACAGCCTGGACCAGGGGCTTCTCACAGCTCTTACTATTCAGTGCCCTGCTGGACTTCACATTTAAAGGGGTGGGGGGGAACGGTTCCACCACAAAACCGCGGTAGACTAAAGCGCGTGTGACTAAAGCGCGGTGACAAAACTGCACGACAACAGCGCGCCGACAACAGCGCGCCGACAACAGCGCGCCGTAACATAACCCTAAACCTAACGCTAAACCTACCCTAAACCTACCCAAAACCTAACCCTAAACCTTACCTTAAGTTAAATCGCGCTTCTGTCGGCGCGCTGTTGTCGGCGCGCTGTTGTCGGCGTGCTTTTGACATCGCGGTTTTAGCACTGCGGTGTTGTCGGCGCGCTTTTGACGTTCGCGGTTATGTCGTGCCACGGGGCGGCATACAAAGGCCAATAAACCTTGAAACCTTGAAACCTT